ATATGTGTAAATTTTACATTAAACAACCTATTAAACACTTTGAACAAAACCAATTCAGTTTTAACAAAAACTCAACTTATGCAACCAGAAGTGATAACATCTACATATAAAACACACAACACAAAGCACAACTTTAAGCATTAACCTTTAATTTAACCGTTAAGCATGCAATGTAATCATAACAGAAAATGGAGGATTTACCTGAAGTTACCTTTGTGCAGATGAACACGTGGTACTTCCTGTGTATAACTTGTAATCAGCTGCTCATGGGGTCGGCCGCAGGCTTTTTACATTTTTCCAAACTCCGTTTAATTTTTGAAATGGAATCAACTGGATTCCACCCTCTAAACACTCAGTGTAACGTGTCTGAATTACATTTTTTCCACTGGCAACGTTTAATCAATTTTTTCTGATGATTTTTGACGAAATCCCTCTGACTGTGGGGTACATATCTGCAGGTAAGGACCGTTAACCTTCAGGACAAATTGAGGTTGTTGATTGGTCCGTTGCTGACACACCTACTGGATTTATTGACAGGTGGCCTCGAGGAGCCGATACATGCAAATAAAAAAAGAGCTACCGCCGGCTTTGGGTGGCCTGCTGCTGATTGAGAAGAACTGTGCTGCTGGTGTATAAAAGCTCCTGCCAGATGTTCTTCCAGTGCTGGGACATTTAGCCATTCAGTAATTCATGAACAGCCAACTAACCTGTTTCTCAACAGCTAGTTCTAACTTCCAGTGATCTTCTCCGGGGACTTCCATGTCCTGCTCGTTCGAGTCTTTCCTAAGACCTCCTTGTTCCTTTGTGGCTCTCCTGTGGATCAGCAGTGTCCCTTCAACTACCAAACCACCAACGCTTCAGCCTGAATCAACCTGCTCCTCTCTCCACCGTTACTCACCTCTGCTTGGGTCTTCAACTCTTTCCTGGAAAACTCAAGACCTCGTCTCCTTCTCCTCCTTGGCTTCTTCTACGAATATAACAATAAGAAATCATCTACTGTTTGAAAACCACTGCTGCAATATATCTGAGTGAATCAAGATGCTCACCTTGTCCTTGTTTCCCTTCCAGCACCGAAGCTGCTGCCGCACCTGACAAAGATCACTTACTTTTGCACGTCTGGCTCCGTCATCCTTTTCAGTCTGCTAACTTGAGGTCGACATTACTGTGAATATGATAGAATGTCCCAGCGCACCAGACCCTCTAAGCAAGGCTGAGGAGGGACAGACCCAACATGATCTCACTTTACAGCAGATCCTGGCCCAGCAGAACACTACCCAAACCAACCTTCAGGAGCTGGACGACATGGTTTTCTCCATTGAACAAAAGATTTCAATGGTTCTACCCACGTCCAAGACCCAGTCCTCACCTCGCCTCTTCGAACCAAACCCTGTGGTTCACACAGGCGCCTTGGAGAACTGGACATACGACCATCAGAGACTTTCAAAGGTAATACCAGTAAATGTGGGGGTTTCATTCTTCAATGTAATGTAGCATTTAACTGTGTCCCATTAACCTACTCCTCTGACTCTTCTCAACCTACATAGTCCGTGCCCTTAAAGGAGAAGAGCACCGGTGGGTATGTGCTTGTCTTCACAGACGACTCATCGAATCGCTGACTTTCTTGAGACTTTCTCTGGGTTTTTGATCAACCTTTGCAACAAGAGGAAGCAGCACAAACACTGTTCACAATGCGCCAAAATAAAAAGACAGTTTCTGAATTTGCTATTCGTTTCTGCAGTATCGTGGAAGAGTTCGAATTGGAGAAAAGGAATTAAAGAGAGTGTTTATTAACACCTTAAACAAACAAATTAATGATAATTTTATTTTTTCATTTACCCTTTATTTATACAGGTAGTCTCATAGAGCCACGAGAACTCATTTTCAAGAGAGACCAGTTTGGGGAGCAGATGGTGGGGGTTAAATGCCTTGCTCAGGGGCCCAGAGTGGGGCGAATGAGGGTCAATTGGTGATCGATTGGCCAGCAGAGATGTTCCCGTGGAGCTGGACAATTTGGTCACGCTAGCCATTCAAATCAATAACAGATCATGTGAACGCCTCTTGGAAAAGGACTACAGTTATTTTGAATACCGTACTTATACTTATACCCATACTTATTTTATATTTAATGATAAAAAATAATTCAAATTATCTCCATGACAACTCTTGTTGCATGATGTGTATTCCTTTGCCTTTATTTTTATTTTTTATGTAAATGGAAACTATCCCTGGCAGTCAAAGTCGAAAACTTCCAAACAACAAAGTGCTGATTATTACTTTGGTGATGAAGATGAAGGAGAAGCAAACAATGAAATCATCACAGCAGAAACAAAAAGTATCAACTGCACAACCTTCAATAAAACACACAGGAGGTGAAGGAGCGTAAAAACTGGACTTTATCTATTCACTGATGATCATATTCAAACAAGCTCCACTTTTTGTTTATATATAAAATCCGCTGAGAGTTTACAGCTTGAGCTTATTTCCTCTAAATGATTTTGACAGTAGTTTTAAAATATAACTTCTGCTTTAGCTTGAACGTCGTCTTAATAACCATAAATATGTGGAGCCTTCAAACAGTCTGTTCATCCTCTGAGTCTGCTGATTTATTGGATTTTGTCTTTGACTTATTGTTTTAATGCCTTGTAATTAGATTTATTAACAAAGCTGAATTATTTATACGCAACAAAATAAAAGATGTCGTTTTAGCCATTTTGGTGAAACGTTTGAAAATAAAATTGTGACAAATGTCATGAGATGCCTCATTTCATCTGACATGATCTGTTGGTGCTTGGACTTTGTGTTGGGGACGATGCAATTGGTGCTCAGGGTATAAGGTGGAGGTAAGTATCAGTTATTACCACACTTGGCTCAAAATGTGTAAAATTGACTGAGATACTATAATATGTTTTAATTTCTTGCTTGCTAAGATTGCTTTAGTGTGTTGTCTACTGTATCTTGTGTCGGGTTAACAGCTAAAGTTATTTACCGTAGTTATATGAGTACATACTACTTGAAAGTCTAATTAAAATCTGGTTAGTGAATGAAAAGATATTTTGCTGATAGTAAAGACAAACTTGCTACAAATAATTATTGGTTTCATGTTTTATGCTGCAGCTTGTATCTTTAGTATAAAAGTACATTATTACAAAGTTTCAGTCCTGCAGCCAGTTCAAATAAGTCTTTTAGTCCATTTGTAGTTTGTAGTTTCATTTTCTCTTTCCCACAAAGAGACTAAACTTATTCTCTTTTATTTAAATATTCAGGCATCAAAAGCTTACTGTCTCCGATGTTTTGAAAGTCAAACATCGTAATAATGACCACTCCTGAGGACGGATCTCAAAAGTATTTTATTGATGGTAGTACACAGTTTTACCACCAAGAGGCATCAAATACTATGTATTGTAGTACCATTTGAAATGTGCAGTGATTATGTCACACTTGTAAGTTCACAGTTTTAAACTGCTGCTTCCGTCTCACAGAGCTGTTAGAAGTCATGTCTGCTTTACGCTGCAGGAAGATCAAGATGATGAGTTTTCAGAACCTGCTGCTCGTTCTGTGCTGTAAGTTTGATCTTATTACTTACTGATATTAAGTAAATATAAATTCCCTTTGGCTGATTACTTTAATATCTGATGACAAGGCTTAATGTTAAAGGTGATTTTTATTTATATGTTTTGAAATAAAACTAAATCTTTTAAACATTTCAGGAAATATTTCAATCTCTGAGACTGAAATGTGAACATCTTGATTTTCTTATAAAGTTATTTTAAAGTATAAAGTCAATGGTAAATAAAAGAACTGTGGGGAAGTAGGTGCTCAGGAAGTACATGTATTCAAAAATTACACATAAAGACTAAAATTTAATGTTTATCTTTTGTTTCTTTTCCAGCAGCTCTGAGTTGTTCCACATGTGCTGCAGATGTGATCCAGGTGTTTGGATATGAGGGACGAGGTGTAAATATTTCCTGCCCATATGATCAAGGTTATGAGGATAATGAAAAATATTTTTGTAAGCACAATACGTGGCTTTCCTGTGATGATCTTATTAAAGTTTCACAAAAGAATACGAATAAATACTTCATCCATGATGACAAAAAGTTACGGATATTGAATGTGAATATTTCTAATATTCGTCTTGATGATGCTGGAACGTACTGGTGTGGAGTGGACATAAGATTAAGAGATATCTACACTGAAGTAAAGCTGGGAGTAATAACAGGTAAGTAAAAAAAATCCACATTAATATAAACTAAGTCAATAAAACAAGGCTACAGATGATGTTACTTCAGATCAAATATTTC